ATAATGGTATATATTTTAAATTCGTTATGGATTTATAATAATTATAACCATCATGGGAGAGTTGGCTCGTCAAAGTGCCTTTAGGCTCCCTTGGCTTGGAATACTCTTATTTTTTTCACAATATTGGGTAATCCTGACTTTATTACACAAATTAAGGCGAAGGTATATGTGCTTTTTTAATTGAAGTTTATTGTGACATTAACCTTATCGCTTAAAAGGATAATGCAATACTTTTGGTCAACTACACAACTCTCCTTGGCCTATTGGTTGAGAGGTTAGGCTTCCAACTAAGAGGTCCAGGGTTCGAGTCTATGTGTATGCGTTGTGTGTGTGAGTTTGCCTTAAATGGCCTAAATGTCCCAAAAAAAATTTCATGCCCGGCTTACTTTTAACGGCAATGAAAAAGTCTGAAGAACTGCAACAATTTCTAGAGTAAGGTAAGCAGAAAGTTATGATTAGTGAGATGGTCGGAAAGGTAACAAATGTGTGCTGGGACAAATGCATTACAGGCCCTCATGGAAGCAAATTCAGCTCTGGTGAGACCTCTTACCTCAACAATTGTGCTCAACAATATATGGACATGAGCATAATCATCATGGAACGCTTCCAGTCCATATTGTGAATATATAGGCATCATTATCTTCGTTTATGCTTTCAACCTTTAATCTCCACCATATAACCAGGTTTATACACTTCTTTTTTCCTTGGTAGGTTACTTGGTCGTTGTTTTCTTCAGTTTTATTGAAGAAAATCCTTTCTATTTCGCTTAAAAAAAGGTTTCACTATTTCCAATTTGCTGTTTTGTGCTTTACTTTTGTTGCTACAAAAAATATAGTTAATATTCTTATATATTTAAAAAATTATTACGAATGTTTATTGATCTTATCTATATTTTTTTGAGCTCTGTTATGAATTATTTCTTAAACTAAGTTTATTAATATGTTTTGCAGAAATGTCTCAATTCCAATATATCTTCACATCATTTCGCTATACATTTCCGCATCATTCCCTAGTAAGTTGAATCAAATTTATATGCATTTTTTGCTCCAGCAAATTTGTATAATTTTATGTCATTTATTTTTCATTTTATAATAGTACAAAGAGTAAATAACCAATATTTGATTATCAAATTTTAATTTATAAAACAAATATGCAGTGCCTTCTATAGCATATGAAGGTATAGCTAATTAATTTTTTATGCATTTTTTTATTTTTAATTATAAAGGTATAGCTCATATATAACAAATACTCTAATATTGTTTCATCTACAAGGCCCTCACTCCTTATATCGATTCCTTAAATAATTAGATTTTTAATTGTTTAATTAACTGATTGCTTATATATTAATTTTAAATATAGTTTTAATTATACATTATATAAGACTTGCATGAATTCAAATATATTCCAGTAAAGACAATTTTATATAGATGTTTTAATTTCATATCTCAATGATGATAAAGTTTTACATTGTAATTATTCTCCATAAAATGTACTTGAGTTTCTAATCTTTGGTTGTATATTTTAATTCCTTGTTATCATCTTGTACTATGTTGGGAATTTTCTCATACATGAAAATTTTAAATAGGATCTACAAGGATGAGTTCTCTTCTCAAGAAGCAAAGAAAAAAGTTTAGTAAACATAAATTCACTAGAGTAGAGTTGATTTGTTTCTAATAATTTTTATTAATTTTGAAATAGCTTATGATCAAGTATAAAAAAATTAATTTGGTGAGAATCAAGGTGTAAAAATATTTTTCATAAGATATATTGAAGTTGTTAAAGAAATATATGATATAGCACTCATAAGTATTAAAAATAATTATAGAGCAACTTTTAATTTTTTAAATATAATACAAATTCTTGTTAGAGTTTATCCTAAGATAAAATAGATGTTAGGGGCTATTTGGCTGTAATTTTAATAATTTTTTTATTAATCCTATTTAGTTAATAAAATTATATTTATTATATATTAATTAATTATAAATTACTAAAATTTTAATAACATAAAAATATTTACCCTATAACTAAAGGGATGTTTCAGTTTAAATACTTTAGGATATAAAATATTTAAATTTGGTGTTTGATTGGATGAAAATGAATCCAAAATAAAGTAGATATAGTGTAAATCATTCTTGTTCATTTTTTAGATAAACCAAAATTGCCCAATTTTGAATGAGAACAGTTTAAAACAAAGTCGCTTGATTGCCGCCAACTGCCGCCCACCAACACCGTCACCCACTGCCACTCCCCCCTCCACCAATCACCATCCTCGTTCCCCTCTTAGTTCCCCACCTACGCTATTAGCCACCAGCCGCTAGCTGCCACATTTAGCCGCCATGATTTTTTTTTTTACTTTACACTATATTTATTATTTTAAATTAAATAAAAAAATCATTCAGTTGTATTTATTTTACTTTCATCTAAAGAATTCAATCTATTCATTTTACAGTATATTTCTTTTTTCTATAAACCAAACAGTCCCTAAAAAAAAACTTAATACCAATCATCAATGTATGGTAAATCATTATTATTTTTTATAATTTAATCGGCCGGTTCTCTTTCCCAGCAGTACCCAACCGTATACAGCGATACCCAACAATAACGAGTTCGTGTACCTAGCCCCCAACACCAAATAATCTCTCCATAAGTGGAGCGGAAACGAAGTTCGAACAGGGGCGATGGTTCTGCTGCTCTGGTCTAAGGTTTGCTTACCCTCCGAGTTGTTTTGCTTCGTCTTCGCGTGAAGTAGAGTTCAGAAAGAGTCACTAAAGAAAACTTCTTCGCCTCCTTTGACGACGTTGTTCTTGTCGGATCAGAAGTCACGGCGGGAGGTTGCTACGAAGGTTACGACCTTTCTCCTCTTTCGCCCAAAACCGGTAAATCCGCCGAACTAGCGGATACAGCATTGAAATCAAACCGGGGAAGGAACGGGATTTAAGTTTCTGTAGGATTACAGTAGCAAAAATATCAACAAATTGGGATGACCGGCTCGTCATCCCAACACCAAACTGCCGCCGGCATTGTATCTCGACGAGCTCCTCATTTCTGCAAGCTCCAGTATATATATATAATCGCCTTTAACCTTTTTGCTCGGCAAGAAGTTTCCTGATCTTGTATTTACTGCCCCCTATCATCAAACCTGATTATTCTTAGCGAGGATTTCTTTTTCTTTTCAACTCCACCGCCACTTCTTTCCACTTCAACCAGATGTTGTTCGGCCACTGTGACTTCTTGAGAGAGTATTTAGGTGTATGAAGCACTTCTGCTCTTCTTATCTTCGTCTAGCTCTCTCCTTTACAAAAGCTTTAGTGATGATGTAGAATCCCTGACGCCACTTCACTAATTTTGTCATTAAATGCTTCAATTGTACGTAGGAATAGTGTAAATCATTAAACGAGCTTTGGTCCGATAGGCATACGACTTGTTTGAGTTATATGGTTTTGGTATGTGTGGTTTATTTAGGGCTTGGTTTATTTTGTTTGTATTAGTGTTATGCCTTTGATTCTAGGTGTCTGCTATATTCATATATTTTACCTGCGGAGCTACACGAGATGCATACTAAACTTTTCTATTGTGGCTTGTGTTGTTGTCCTTAACATTTTGTCGCTATAATCGGAATCTTTTCAAAGTTGTTGGCCTCCAACTTGATACATCATGCTTATCCTTCCGCATATTCATTTTTGCATCACATTCTTGCTGCTTAACCTTAGTAGGGTAAGTCAATTGAGTTTGGTTGCTTGCTTAGGCCATATCTTTATCTATGAATTTAGAGCTTTGGTAGGAATTCTGAGTTTAGGGGCACTGAAGGCATAGCCTCATTATTATAGCTATGTTGTTTTTGGGTTCTTCTTTTCTCATTTTTTCCTGTATATTATGAATATGTTAGAATGTGACTTATTGTTTGAATTTGTCTCACTTGCTAAGATAGTTGTGATTTTTGCACATTTTATCAGAGCAGCAAGTTATGTTATCTTGTATAATGCCTTGTAAGCCTTAATATGTAAATTTGTGGGGAATAAAATGGGGTATATTGAAGATAACTTGGACATAATTAAGTTAGAACGACGAAAATTCGGCGGTTTGGCCGCGGGAAAAATACGGCCAAACCGGCTGTTGAACAGCTGGTAAGACGCCGGTAAAAAAACCTGCGGTCACCGGCCTTAGGGGTGTCAATTTCGGGTTACGGGTCGGGTTCGGGTCGAACCCGAAACTGACCCGGCACTATTCGGGTCAACCCGAACCCGACCCGTTTTTAAAAATGGGTCGGTTTCCTGGACCCGAACCCGACCCGCTTCGGGTCCGGGTCAACCCGACCCGACCCGCTTCGGGTCCGGGTCAACCCGACCCGACCTGAATGACCCGTTTTCAACCGAAAAATTGCTAATTTTCGGGTCAAAAACGGGTCAATCTCCTCTTTTCGGGTCAAAATCGGGTCAATCTCGGGTTGGCGGGTCAAAATCGGGTTTTCGGGTCAAAATCGGGTCACTTTCGGGTCAATTTTGGGTCAAAGGGTTAACCCAAACCCGACCCAATTTTCGAAACGGGTCGAAATGTTGAGCCCGAACCCGACCCGTTTCGGGTTCGGGTTGACCCTAACCCAAAATTTTTGGGTCGGGTTCGAGTCGGATTTTCGGGTCGTGTCAAATATTGACACCCCTAACCGGCGTTATGACCACCGAAACACAACTGGCGGTATGAACCGCCGGTGAAAAAAACTGCCGAAAAATGATCGTCGAAAACAATTTCCTACGCGGTTTTTACCGGCGGCGTTTGAACCGCCAAAAAGCCCCCATTTTTTTACAAAACCGTAGGAACGCTTATGCTGACCGCCGGAACAAACCGTCGGTCATGAGTGATTTTCCTATAGTGATTATTCATTTAATAAATGAGAGCTTTGTCATGTATATGTATATTATTAATGACTCATTGTATAAATCAACTAGAAGGCATTATTTTGGAGACATGACCACTAGATTACTATTTATTATATTTAGTTTACAAATTAAGAAAAATATTATCCTAACATTGTTGTATGTGATTTGTAACTAGTAAGTGTAAAATTTATTGTGTAAATAAACTTGTATTTGGTGTTATAAATAGAATATAATATATCAGTGCTAGACTTCCGTCTTATGTCAAAGTCATTTGTGGTCAAACATGATTGATGGTAAAAATCTTATTTAAGCGTTATAACTAAATATAATTATATTATTTGAGGCATACCGTAGTTTTATTTTCTTTCTAGTTTGTAATAGATTTTTTTCCTGCTCTTAATGCTATTTGCATTTCTTCACAAAAAAAAAAGGAAGTATAAGTTAATAGATATTAGGAAGTTAATTAATTTATAAGTGCTATGGTAATTAGTAGTTGCAAAATTTGGTATATTAGTTTAGGATTTATATTTAGTAGTATGTAACCTACATATTTAACCATAAGTCCATATTTGTGATGTAACTTGCCAATTTATTTAAATTTTTAAGTAGATGTGCATAATATGTATCAAACAACTTGAGAATATGGGGTATATGCTAACCTTTTTGAAGTATGCATCTTTGATATGCTTCAGGCAATTTATTCTATAATCACAATATTTCTTTTCAATGCCCAATTCTTGAAGTAGTTATAATCAAAAAATCATTTGACATTTTCATTTAATTCTATGATTGAAGACTTTAAGCGCGACATCATAATATTGTTCAATACATGAAACCATGTTCACAAACATGAAAACAAAAACATGCTTTAAGCTTTGGAATTTGTTGTATTCCATTTGGGCAGGGGCACTTTCTAAAGTTCTTCTTCTTGCTATATTTTTTTTTACCTATAGTTTTGGATTTTCATCTCTTCTCTGTCTTTCTTCTCTTTTTATTTTGACGTACAATATTGAGATATTATACTTAGAGTAGTTTAATGATTTCCTCTTGTATTTCTTCAGGTTTTTTTTTCATGTTTTCTAGTTTATTTCTCTTTCTCTAATATGTAATGAACCGTTGTGGTAGAACTGGAAGGATATTTTTTGACAATACCCCCAGCTATATATTTCTATTTTTATGCATATTTGCATGTCTATATTGTTTTTGGTAAAGAGAAGTTTGTTCCATTTGCATTAGATGGATGAAGAGAGCAAATGTTCTTGGAAAAGATCTTATTTTCATGATATCTTTATAGAAAATGAGGTAAGCAAGAGGAGAAGCCTCAATGGTCAAAGAGAGCTACATGATCTCACAGTTGAACAAACTGTCTATCGCTATTTATGTCCTAAAGAAAAAGCAGGACGTGTAATTGGCCAAGGTGGTGAGATTATAAAGTCTATAAGAGCAGATATTGGAGCTAGGGTCCTAATTGAAGTTGTTGGTCCAGGTTCTGATGGCGTATTGTTACTATCTCTAGTTCATTCAAAGAAACAAATCCCTTCAATTACAAAAAAGATTATGTTTGTCCAGCACAAGATGCCCTCTTCAGGGTGCATGAGAGGCTTACTCTAGTTGAACCATTGATTTGTAATGAAGATGATCACTTCAGTGATTTTCAAGTTACTGCTCGCTTGCTGATACCATCAGACCAGTCACGTTGCATTATTGGGAGGCATGGTCATACTATAAAGAATATGAGGAAGGACATGGAGCCCAAATTTACATTTGGAATAAGAACGTATTCCACTTTGTGCTAACAGTACAGAAGAACTTCTTGAGGTATGGAGTAGAAATATTCTTAATATCCTTTGTTAAGAACTTACATTTTATTGGTTATATCAGCTTACCTATTACATTTGCTATAAAACCTATTTTCTATTTTTAGAATTTTACTTGGGCCCCTCAATTTAGTTTATGTTTACCCTTGGGTGTCTACCATAATAACTTTATTTCTCTACCATTAAATGCTATCAGGTGATCTTGCATGAGATGTTTTTTTTTTGGTGTGAGAAAATGCAATATACACTATGGGGTTTAGTTTATTCGGTAGTCAAATTTCAGTGCCAGATGCTTTGGTTAATTACATTATAAAGCTGTTAAACTATATGAACACTTTTGATTAAATACATGACCATGACATGAGACTTAGTAGTAGTTCAAGGATGATCAATTCTAAAAATGAGGTAAACAATGATCTTTAACTCGAGTCGGTGTTAGCAATGTTTTCTATTTTTTGAGTTGCTTAATTATTATCTAAAAAGAATAACTGTTTTAAAACCGTATATATAAGCTTTTTTACTCCTATTTTTACCAGTGCCATGGTCAATAATTCCTTAGTTCAGTAACTCTATGACTTCTAGTAATTAAATTATTTCATCATGTATAACCTATTTGGTATCAGATTAGTGGAGACGCTTTGGTAGTGAGAGAAGCTTTGTTTCAAATTTCATGTCTCCTTCATGAACATCCATCAAGGTCCCATGAACAGATTACTTCCAAAGCATCCTACAATCCATTTAGTTGCAATTTAGTCTGGAAACAAGCAACAAGGGCTTACACTCCAATGGAGGATAGTTATGAGTTTACCTTGAGGTTGTTGTGCCCTTCTGTTAATACTAGAGATGTGATTGGCATGGCTGGTGCTACTATCAATCAGATCAGGGAGGAATCCGGGGCAACCATAAATTTAGATTGTTGTTTTGATGATGAAGACTGCATGGTATTAATTTCAGCAAAAGAGGCATGTCTTACTTGTTCAGTTTTTGTGATTCTTTATAATCTTTGCAATTATCTTCATGCACAAATGTTTTATTTATACTCGTTTTACTTGGTATGCAGTTCGTGGGAATCTCAAACTCGCCAACCATTAATGCTGCGACACACTTGCAACCAAGTTGCAGCAGGAAGTTGGAATGCGGATGTGAGGGACCTTCATATGTGACACGTCTTCTGGTGCTAAGATCACAGGTTGGTGGTTTGATTGGAAAGGGGGGTTTTGTCATCAAGGAGATGAGGAGAACTACACAGGCAAGCATCTCCATAGTTGAAAACTCGCTTCCTAGTGTTGCATCTGTGGATGATGCATTGGTACAGGTAAGGTTGCATGCATTTATTGTTCTTGTCTTTTCCCTTGAAATATTGTCTACTCAGCAAGGCATGCAAACAGTTCAGTGTTGCATCTGTGGATGATGCATTGGTACAGGTAAGGTTGCATGCATTTATTGTTCTTGTCTTTTCCCTTGAAATATTGTGTACTCAGCAAGGCATGCAAACAGTTCATTATGTTGAATGTTTCAAAGTAAGATGAGATACTATGATCATCTGAATTTCTAGATTTGTGGAGATCTTCCAAATGCCAGAGATGCCCTTATACAAGTGATAGAACGGTTGAAAATTACTCATTTTGCAAGGAAGGGCATACTTTTGACGCCCCCTTCTGCTTCATCTCATTTTTTGTCAAGAAAATCTTCTCCTGAATCAACATCTACTGGCAGAAGCTTTGAACCATGCAGTCATGGGCATTCCAGCTCTATTGAGTACACAGCTTCTGTTGGTAGGGAGGCATTAAAAATCCATGCTGGCTCTGGTGGTCCACAGGTACTTTATTTGCTTATACAATATGCAGTAGTTGGGAAATCAGATGGGCACGTCCATGCACTTGTTACTATTTGACCTATGTTTTAGTTTTCTATTTTTAAATTTTTTTTTGGGTCATTTTTTTGCAGTTTAATTTCCTATGTAATATTTTATGCAGATTGATGATGATAATTAGATATTCTAGTGAAGTTTATAAATTTGGCGTGATCAGGTAAGACTTTTCAAATTGTCTTAATTTCTTGATGAATATTTAATAGGCTATAAAGGAGATAAATTGACTTATGCAATGCCCAAAGAATGAATTGGAACACAAAGAAATGGAACAAATTCCTTATGTATCTATTGTTGGAAGTTTAATGTATGCTCAGACTTGTACTAGACCAGATATAAGTTTTGTTGTTGGAATGTTGGGTAGATATTGAAATGTTGGGTAGATATCAAAGTAATCCAGGACTTAATCATTGGAAAGCTGCAAAGAAAATTTTACGATATCTACAAGGAACAAATGAATACATGCTCACTTTTAGAAGATCTGATCACCTTGAGGTGATTGGATATTCAGATTCAGATTTTGCTGGATGTTTGGATTCTAGAAAATTCACATTTGGATATGTGTTTCTCTTAAGTGGAGGAGCAATATCTTGAAAGAGTGCAAAGCAGTCCGTCATTGCTGCATCCACAATGGAAGCTGAGTTTGTGACATGTTTTGAGGCAACAATTCAAGGATTATGGTTGCGGAATTTTATTTTAGGACTTGGAGTTGTTGACAGTATTGTCAAGCCGCTGAAAATTTATTGTGATAATTTCGTAGCAGATTTCTTTTCTAAGAACGACAAGTATTCAAATGGTGCTAAACATATGAAATTAAAATATTTTGTCGTTAAAGAAAAAGTTCAGAAACAAAGAATATCATTTGAGCATATTAGCACCAATTTTATGATTGCGGATCCATTAACTAAAGGGTTGCCACCGAAGACATTTCATGAACATGTTGTTAGGATGGGCATTATTGAAACTCCTTATTAAGATTATGTTTATTTGCTCTTTATATATTTTGATATTTTGAGCTCTTTTATTTTGTTTCTGATAATTAGTGTATCATGTTTATTATGATGTGTGCACATAAATGTTTATGTGAATATTAATGGATTTGTCTTTGTAAAGACATTATTGCTGGACTATTATGTGTGTATCTTATTATGGTTCATATTAAGTGTAAGATTAATATTGTGATACATGGAAGGAAATGCATCGAACTAATGGTGTATGACCGCCATGATTCGTATTAATTTTGTACTTAACAATGAATTTATGATTTGACCAATTTAAGGAATAAAATTTATATATTGCGCTTATGTTAATTAAATTATTAATTGAATAATTTCATATGGGCCAAGTGGGAGAATGTTAGAATAATTAAATATATTAATTATGCGAGACGTCGCAATAATTATTTAAGAATATATATTCAATTTTATAAACCATTATGTGGCCCATATATTTGAATTATTGAAATTTAATTATTTTATATTTAAATCTTATTGGTCAAAAAAATATAATTTAATCATTAGTTTATGGACCGTTTGATCAAATATCTCCTATGAACGGTTATTGTAAAATAACTCCTATGAGTTATTGTAAGAGCTCTGATACCAAATGTAAGAATTAATTGAGTTATGTAACTCTTGTAAGAACTCGCATCATAATTTATGTAAAAGAAATCGAAACAAAAAAACTTAAATTTACATAAGTCTTAAATTCTCAAGATCTTAAATAAGATGATTTTCATAATTTTTAATCGGAAGAAGAACATATCTTGATTCATTTTGAATTCGTCGAATTTCAAACTACGGTTTCTCTCCCTTCTCCCTTCACTTTCTTCTATTATGAGTTAGTCTTCTATGGAGCAAGATAACTCCTCTATTTGAGAGAGATTGTGAAAATCATCTTGTTTAAGATCTTGAAGATTTAAGACTATGTAAACTCAAGTTTTTTTTGTTTCGATTTCTTTTACATAAAGCACCAATTTTATGATTGCGGATCCATTAACTAAAGGATTGCCACCGAAGACATTTCATGAACATGTTGTTAAGATGGGCATTACTAAAAATCCTTATTAAGATTATGTTTATTTGCTCTTTATATATTTTGATAATTTGAGCTCTTTTATTTTATTTCTGATAATTAGTGTATCATGTTTATTATGATGTGTGCACATAAACATTTATGTGAAAAAAATGGATTTATGTCATTAACTTTCATATGACAAATCCTTTTACGTCATTAACTTATGTTTGTGGTGTTTAAAATAGTGCGTAAGAGAAGTTGCCTATTGAGCTTTATATATGCAGATAGTGATATAAATTAGGCTGGCTGCTGATGAGCCTTATATGTTGGCTTACGATTGAAGTAAAGATAATGGAATGGGACATGGAGAAATGAGCAAGAACGTGTTGGCAGGACAAATTAAACATGAAAAGTGACACATCTTTACTGATTAATACACACAATTAGATATATAGAAACTCACATAAACGGATGTTTGTTTTTTGGCATTCCTGTTACATAGTAACATTAGTTTTTTGTTTCTATATTTGTGTTAGCATTTGTGTGTGTGGGTGTATAGGATGGACTTTTCTCATTTTCGATTTTTCTTAATACTAGTAAAAATGTTCGTGCATTAAATGATTATTAAAAATGCAAAAAAAAATTTATATTATAAATATTTTAATTATATTATTATAAATAATTATAATCATTTTGATAAGTTTTAGATGCTTAGATAAATAGTTCAATATGATATGAATTTTATTTTATTCATGAATTATTTTGGTGTTAAATTCTTTTTATTAGTTAATGAATAGTCTATTTATTTTTTAAGTTGATTTTTTTTTTAAAGTTATAAATTCTTTTTTAAATTGCGAGTTAATATAATTTTAAATATTAAAAATAATAAAAAGCAAATTTTGTTTACAAAGTTGCATAAAAAATAAATCTTTTAATTAAAATTTTCCTTTATTTTATGCACATACATATTTTACTTCAATTACCATACACAAAAGTTACATTAAATTCCAAAAAAAAAAAAATAATCACATGTAATTAGTTTATTAATAAATATGAGATGACAAATTTCACGTCGTGAAAATTGTAAAAAGAATTCTGCTTATAATATAAAATCTAAGAAATAGAATTAATAATTTTTTTAATATTGAAATGATTTGGTCAGAGAAACATCAAAGTTAGTTGAAGGATGAAGCAAAAATTAGTTCAACAAGAAGTTTAAGTTGTCATTTTAATATATATCTACAAGAAAATGGGTCAATAGCGACCAACGAAATTGGTCGCTAAAAATCTTAATTTGGACGCTAAAGCAAATAGCGACAAAAAATATTTGGGTCGCTAATTTGTCGCAGTAGCCTCGTCGCTGAGGCTTTTAGCGACCAAAAAAAAAATTTGGTTGCTAAATTAGCAACCACTAATTAGTATTGGTCGCTAAAATATGACATATTAGCGACCATTTTTTTGACGCTAATGAATATTTATTTGGATGCTATTTAATAATTTAATAATTAATTTTATTTAATGCATTTTTCCTATAGCGACCAAAATAAAAATTGGTCGCAAAATGATCAACCAAATAAATCACATGCCCCTTTAATTTCATTAGATTTTGATATATATTTATGGATAAAAAATTTATGATATTTAGTAAAAAATTATTATCCAATTATTATGCCTTGACTATAATAATTAAGATCAATCCATCACTCCTTTATATTACAATTAGTTAGATAAATTTAATAATAGAGAAATAAAACATTTTATTAGCTTTAGGTAACAATAATAAAAGCATAGAATCCAAAAAATTATATTCATCCATCAGTATCATTGTCAAGAATTTGCTAGGAGAAAATGAAAATTATATTCATTCATATACTTTTACAAATACATTCATTAATTAACATAAAAAATGTGATCTCATAAATCATTAATCATAAAATCTTAATGTTTACAAAATGATCACATCTAGTTAATTACCATAAAAATATTTCATTAACTTTTATGTAAATAAATATAAAATTACAAAATCAACTCTATGAAAAGTAAATAACATCAATCTGTAATCATTCTAACACCAACCAATATCTTGTACTGCTGCAGTGTGGGATCTACCTCCATATCTATCAATACACATTTCAGATGCAAAGAACTTCAACTTGGAGTACAAGTAGGCAACCCCTACACAAAAAAATTATAAACAAGATTAACATAATATTTCACCAATTCCGAGATAATTCAAGGTAAAAATGCAGGGAACTTGCATACTACTTGGCATCATGTCTTCCTCAAAGCAAACATCATAAAATTTCGATAGATGTTCTACTGATTGATCGCCTCCCTACAAAATTTTAAGTAAATTATTAAAAAAAAAGGTTATATGCTATCATTCTATGAATATGAAGAGTAAAAACTCAAGAAAACAATAATAATAACAATAATAATAATAATACAAGTCACATCAAAGCTTCTACATTCGGAAGAAAAAAGCACTCCATCCGATCCATATAATCGGAAATCTCAGATAAGTTGCTACTAAAATGAATGTTATTAGGTCTGGTTGCTCTTCAACGACTTCCAAAATGTCAGCTTCCAAATTTGACTTGCATAAATGAATTATCAAGTTAGATGCATAAATATTGTAGCTTTTCAAATAAGGAAACTTTACAGATGAGATAAATCTGTCACAAAACATCACACAGACAATATCAAAGGAAATCATCATGAACAAATATGTTTAAGCACAGCACAAATAAAAAAGCTTTTTTTCTTCTTTTATAAAATTGAACTTTTCTTCCCAATTATTATACCAAACACTTTGAAATTGCTTATACTATTCAATAAAGTAGAAGCAAATAGCAAGCAGATCATTAACTCCCAAAAAATTACCATAGAATCATGATCAAGACATAAATTGCCCGCATAATTGTTAGACTACTAAAAAATCAAGCTTTCGTAGCATTTTTCCTAACCTGCAGCAGCGGTTTAAAGACCAATTAAAATCGCTGCTAAAGTGTAGGACTAATTAAAATAAAATAAAATATAAAAAAATCTAATTTTTTGATTAAATAAATACATAAGCAATATCAAGTTCTGAAAGAAGAGCACATTCTTATTATAACCCAAGTAGCACTCGATGACAATCAACTGACAAATGATTGTCGAGATCCACTACATAGAGCATAGAGAACTAGCATTCGGACCAGTCTTGAAGAACAGAACTTTAAAAAAAAATGTTAACATAAGTAGCTATAGAGGTTCTAGGCAATCCTCCAAACATCATTTATTGCAAAGGTTAAAATGACCCGCCCATGCGAAAATGGCGGTTGTTTTACAATAATAAGCAAAAGAAACGTTATTGGAATAGTAGGGAAAACAGTAACACAATAATCGCCAAGGAATATGCAACAAGCCTTCATGTTTGAATTGTGCAAGTTACAAGTACAGCTCTTCATTATAGACTTTTTTTTTTGAGGAAATATTTCTAAATAAAAATTAATCTTCCATTTACCTCTATCATGGGGTAGAATCATGACAATTGCCATGCATCATCCTCATCCTCCCGCTCTTTCCTAGCTGCATGCTTCTTCTGAAGATAAATGTGAAATGAAAATCATAAGTTGGATAAAAGTGAAAGACATGAAAATTAAAATAAAATATACCTTTTGAGCATCAAATTTGAGAGAAAAAACTCCCCTTGAAGCCTTTTTGGTGTCTAGGCCACCCAAATACTTCATATTGGACACAACTTTCATATCTTCAGTTGTAAGCTTTGCTAGCTGAAATGAATTTAGATTCAGACGTTTCCATAGAATGAATGCATACTAAAAATCAAGCAGAAATATTTCCAGTCAAGCTTAAGCAATTGGGGTGGTCTGATGCTGAACTTCATGATGCGGGAAAAAAGCCAGTCAAGCTTATAGCTTGGAAGGTGAACTCTCGAATCTTCTAGGAGAGACTTTTCAGAAATAAAAAATTGGTAGGAAAAAAGGTGGTGTTAATAATACTCAGGTTGTTGCTCACAAGAGGAAGGCTTTATTATTAAAACAAGAAGGAAAGCTTGCTGAAGCTAAAGAAGAATTGAAGCAGGCTAAGATATTGGAAAAGCAGCTTGAAGAGCAGGAGTTTCTTGTTGAGGCTTTAGATTCGGAGGATGAGCTCTATACTTTAATACAGAATATGGGCAATGAAAATCAAGATGATCTAATGTTAGAGAATGATCTTGATGTTGGTGCAAACTTTGAACACTTTCTTAGTGCCTCAGATGATCTACCTATTGATGACAATTTAGAGGTAACAGAGCATGATATGAATGATCCAGAGATTGGTGATGCCTTGAGATTATTTGGTTGGTCTGAACAAGATGATCAGCATGAACAAAGGGATGCATCCGAATCTGTTCCTTTCGATCAAGAAGGATTGCAAGCCAAAATCCTTAATCTGAAGAAGGAGGTGCTTAGCCAGAAATGGGCTGAAAATGCTCCTGAAGCAATGGCTCTTCTTAAGAAGGCAAAGCTTCTTGAACAGGACCTTGGAACCTTTCAGTCTGATACAAATATGCCTGAACCGAAATTTTCACAGGGGACGCGTGATAATCAAATTAATGCACCTAAAAGTAAGATGGTGATTCAGAAGGAGTTACTAGCCTTGAAAAAGAAAGCACTTACTTTGAGAAGGGAATGACGTTTAGAGGAGGCAGAAGAGGAACTAAAAAAGGGAAAGGTTCTTGAGCAGCAGTTGGAAGAGCTTGAGAATACTTCAAAGAAACATGTAAATATACCAACCCAGAAACGCATGGAGCCTACCCATGTCCAAGATAGTGCTATTGGCACCTTTGATATTGGAGTAGATAGTGCAGAAATAGATGTAACTGAACAAGATATGCACGATCCTGCCATGTTATCAGCTTTGTAGAACTTGGGGTGGAATGATGATGAATCTATTTCGCTAATCGGAACAAATTTTTCTTCCAATCCATCCAACAGCCAATCTGTGAATGAAAGTGTGCCTGCTGCAATGACTTGGAAATTGATGGAAAACAAAGCAGAAACTCAGAGGGAATTATTAGCTATTAAAAGGAAGGCCCTTTCCTTGAGACGTCAATGGAAGACCGAAGAAGCTGAGGAAGAGTTGGACTAACATGCCTATGAAAGATCGGTGCTTAAAACTATATATGAATGATAGAAGGAACCAATGAACCAAAGCTTTATAGAAAAATTGAATCAAAATACACAACATAAATGGAGATGTGCATCAAGGTACGAGTGACATGTCTGATGTAAAAAAAATGTGACTCAAACAACAAACGGAAAAGATAACAAACCTCTAAATGAAGTGAAAGTTTTTCCATTTGTTCTGTGTCTTGTGGTAGAGCTTGAACCAACTTTTGCATGTCACGAGTTGACAACTCCTTGCCATCTCTATATAACAAAGGGAGTAAAAAAAAATAGTAAAAGCAAAGGCTTGCTAAAGAAAAAATATAATATCAGTTCTTTAGTTACGAGAAAAAAAAATGCACGTTTGATCTTTATGGGTAATGTTGCATAGTTAAATAGTTCTACTGCAGAAAGTCAAATCCATAAATTGTTAAGGCGCTGTTGGGCATATTTCTTGGTTTTATTAACAACCGAACTCCACCGATCTGAAGTTCTCAAACAATGAAGTTGACTACTGAATATGCATTATATAGCTACTATATATCATACCATCCCATCATAAATAAGAATAATCCAGAACTTAAGAATTTTTTGTCAGATTGTTCAAAGAAAAAAAAAAAAGTCAACCAGTAGCCTTCATTGTATTTTAGGTAGTGCTCATCAATGCATATAATTGGTATGTAGAAGAATGTAACTTCAGGAAAGCAACTAATTTTCCCCTTTATTATCCCATGGGATTATTGGGAAGAAAAAGTACCACAGCACATATGTACGCGCCTATAGTCCAAAATCCTTTTTTTTTGCTCTTTTCAATTCCACATTTCTCAGTACTGTTATGGAATTTTCAAGGAAGTTCGTGTCCTCAAAGACTAATAAGTATCACTAAGAGAGATCATAGCCCTTCTGTGATGTTTTTGAAGCATATCCAATACTAAAAAAAAATTCAATTAAGTACATACTTATGTAATTATACTTACAGTATCAAAAGTGTGAGTGAGATTTTGAACCATAATCGATTAGGAGCATGAGAATACTTACTCTTCTTCCATTCGTAAATTATATTTTCTTTTTACATCCTTTTCTTCTTTTTGCTTGTATATCCATCATATATGAGAACAAATCTGAATAAACACAAGACGATATTGCATCTTGGCAAAACACTCAATTTAGTAGTTACAGGATAACATTTTAGCTGACTAAGATGCTATTACTTTTTCAAAGTTATACTGATATCAAATTAAAATTATTGCAAACTACGACGGCTATTTGATTAATTCTTGGAAGTGAAATTGTAGAATTAAGCGAGCCAGTTAAATTTTAGCAATGCTAGATCCTGCACCTACTATGAAAGAATGGAAAGGTTACTCATATAAGCTATGCAGAATGCCAAGTAGTTGAAACAAAGTTTGTGGAGATAAATATGCTGATAAAGGTGAAGCTTATTAAGTGAACTACACACCTATACCTGAAAGTAGAAATAAAAATTACAACAGATTGTAGAAAATAAGAAATACGTAAAGAAGATATGAAAAATAAGAAACAATTTCTCTTAATAAATAATTTATGCAATTTCTCAAGAATGAGAAGTTTTTAACCTTAGATTAAATTAAGTCATATTTATAAGTGAACTACACACCTATATCAAATTAAGTCATATTTATAACCCAAAAATTCAAAAATAAATAATTTCTCTTAATCCCACAAGTCAAAGACTCGTAGAACAAGTTTAAATTCAAAAAACTTGGATTTCAGCAAGAATGAGAAGTTTTTAACCTTAGATTAAATTAAAACAAGAAGTTTCCATGTCAAATTTATGTTACTAACAACGTTCAAATTGCTACTACGAGAATATATTACAAATACAGAAAACAACCATGTGTTAAAAGAAGAAAATTGATGCAATAAAATAAGATAGTTCAAGAGCTAAATTGAAAGAGACTTATTAATATTATAATTTCAAAAAACAGAAATAAATCAGATCTCTAATCATCATTTTCTTCATTTGAGAAGTCTGGACCTACAAAAAGAAATTTATAATATTAGATAAACAAAATTTTCAATTTTATTATGTAAACCTTAATGTTCATATTCTAAATACTTACCATCATCATTAGGGGGTTGCATGCCCATTTTTTCTGCCATCATTTTTAACCAATCTATAGTTTTTTGTTGAGATTTAATGATCTTACTTTGATCCTCATATTTCTCTTGTATAACTTTTAAACTTGTTTCAAGCTCGGTCTCTCTCACGGACGATGCATTTGATTTGGCAATTTTAGTTTTCTTTATAGGCTTTGGCCCATAACCAAGGCCACGAATATATGACGATGTTTCACCTAAAACTTCAGCACAAATGATTGTCTCATCAACTATTCCTCCATCTTCAATGATTTTCTCACGAATTTCCATCATCTTTTCCTGTATGTTTTAAGAAAAATCAACACAAAAAAGATGAAATATTACTAATAAATCTATTCTAAAAAATTAAATTTATACTAACATATTTTGCCTGACAATATTCAGAAACCCATTTATTTTCTTTGTCTGTAAATTCCTCCTTGTATAACTCAATCCTGCTTAATTTCTATATCATAACAAAAATATATCTCATTAATTAATAGTTTTCAAAATTTAAACAACTAAAAAATTATAGATACCTGGTCATATAAATGAGCTACGAGGGACTTCGTGCCCATTCGGTGAATGACCTTCAACATCGAACGATTTCGACAGTTTGATTCCGATTTTTTCTGTATAAAAAAATTTGATTAAACATAATATAACAAAAAAATAGCGAGAAAATTTGATCTTCATATGCTTGAAATTTAAACATTTTAATATTGATGTCTTTTATATACATGTCCATCTCATTTTTGTTATATTTTCTTTAATACTCAATTTTTTTCCTCACAAAATCATTACATAATAAGAAGTTTCATCAATCACTATAACAATATAAGTAAATTAGCAAACCTATAGTTTTTTCTTTTAATTAAAGGCATACCTTAAATGCTTCTGAGTCAAAAAAATTACATAGCCAAATCCAATCAGCTGGTCTCTCAATAAGTTCTTTGTAAGGCTTTTGTCTTGCTAACATTCCACCTCCATGTTTTTTATAATGTACATAAGCCTTCGAGGGAAAATCAGAAAATCTCTTGCTCATCGTGTGCATCACACAATCCTTTACATGTGATTCTTCAATGGACAAATTAATCTTTACCTACAAAAATTTTTTAAAGCAACGTTAAATTGTGATTCATTCTTCAATGTAACTACGATGCATAATAACATGAAATTGTATTGTTGAGCAGAAATAGGTTCAATCAAATGAGTTGTACTTTGAATGCTATCCCCAACTACTAATCTAGATAGCCTAAGTCTGCTAATCTTAAATTAGTAAGTGCTACTAAAAGATGCTAGGTAAGAGTTTAATAGGATAGATATATTTTTATGATCGTACTACTAAGACTTCGAAAGACATGAAAGCTAGCTAGACTTAAGGATAAGAACTTAATTGCCTATCTGCTACAAGTTAAGAAATCATATAGTTCTGTATTATTAATATATGATATTTATTCATAAATTTTATGTGTTTTATCACTTCATGACTGACAAAAATCAAACTGTCATCCACACGAAACTAGCATTCACCATCAAGTATATTCACTTATTTTTAATGTGCTGTTTTTTTTTTTTTTTTTTTTTTTGGTATCACCTTTCTTAGGAATAGTAAGTTATAAATCACAAAATTAGTGGCTCGAACCAGAATCTGGTGAAGCAATCTTCTCCAAACATTGGGCCTATTAGTTTGATTGTTCAGTTCTTCTGCAAATTGAAACGTTAACTTGGCTTATAGAACGTCATAACCAATATTTCTGTTATTAAAGCCTTAAAAAAGGAACTATATGATTTCTCATAGTCCTAAATGGTTGAAACTTATGCTGTTATAAAACGTGGTGATTTTGGATCAAACCACCAGCTATATAAAAAAAAAACACATTCTTTACAAGCATTAAAATGCAGGTCTTCCTAGTAAGATAGGTATAAGAAGTATTATGTAAATTTTCCATCAAAACAAAATGATCTCTTACTATAATGTGTAGAGGAATCCCGAATCTATACAGTTGATATGGCATGAAAAATGAAGTTCCAACATATTTCTTTGATTGAAGCAAAGCAAGGGGATGATCTAATTTGATCTGAATATGATGCTGATAGCAATTCATCATGTCCTTCAAAGCTCTCTGATTGTTTTGCATGCAAAATTCTTAACGACTCAAATATCTAGTCTAATTCATTATTATTGTTTGAATGAGTAATCTGGATTGAAGCAAAAAAGTTAAATTATGATGATCTGTTTGAATGGTGAACGTCAATGATTACAAATTCATAAATAACAAAATCATACAATTAGTTGAAGTCAATCCAGTTGATGAAACTCAATTTACATCAAATTAATAAATTCCATAACACAATCAATCCAAAAAAAATAGAGTGCTATGTAAAAGTAGAAGAAAAGCACAATAGTTATTACCATCAATTTTTTTGCTTATATGCCGAAAGTAAGAAAATATCAAACATAAAGATAAATGATATTCATAAACAGAATTAAATTTTCTATCACATATAACTTAAATAATCGTTAAAGTTCTTACCAACAATTTTTTTAAAAGTAATTCTTTATCAGCATCACTCACTTGTTCCCATCTTTCGACTTGCATGGGTGCAAAGTTTCTAATTATAATACCCGCTTCTCTAGACAACTTTGAGTGATGCTCTCCAACTGGCCTATTCAAGCCCTCTGGAATGATTATTGATACCTTACCTTTTGTTCTGTAATGCTCTTCTAATGCTACACCTCTATTTGGACCCCTTTTTTTATTAGAACTTGAAGCTGAAAAAAATAAAAATAAATAAGAAAGTCATTTATATTTATCATAACTATTAAATTTGAAGAAGCCATAAGTAATAATACCAATGATAGTTGTCTCAATCTCTGGTGCTGACGGATTTGGTAAACTTGGCCTATCAACTATTGGAGATGCTTCTCCCATAGGCAAACCTCCTTCAATTGATACATGCAAATAGTTAATAGTAAGAGCTAGTAATGTACAAAAGAAATGATATTTATTAAAGGATATCATTTAAGCCTGAAAGAGAAAAAACATTAAAACAGAATTTAACCTAATAAGCTAAAAAAATACCAACTTACCATTATTAGCAGTAGATACGACATGTGAAGCATCATTTTTTAATGAAGACTGCACATTATTACTAGTTGATGGTGCAAACAAATGTGAGTAATTTGCAATTATTCGAGAGCTTATCCATTTTCCTGGAGCCATAACTTAATAAACTGCAAAATGAAACAACAACAAAAAATATTATTGAAAAGCAAATATATCAAGTTATTATAATATATGAAACAAATAAGTTATAAAGAACAACCTAGTCTTTATCACTATCAATGTTGATATGTACATCAACATCATCTTCACTAAAATATTTAGCTAATGTTGCATCATATTCCTCTTCTTCATCTTCATCACATATAAAATCAACAGTCTGAGTTGGTTGCACATGCACATTTTGTATAGATTCCAAAATTTGTGGCTCTACATCTTCTCTATGTAAGGCACCAATCTCACCAAAATCATCTTGGAAGTTTATATCATTTTGCTCATCTTCTTGATATGTTATATTTTCAGTTGGCTGATCAGTGTTAAGTTGATATTCATTCAAGTAATTCATGAGACTGGGATCAAATAAATGCCTATGCTGCACTTTCTGTACAACATGCCAATCACCTCTTAACTTTGTATCTTGAACATAAAATACTTGAGTAACTTGACCTGCTAAAACATAAGGATCATTATCATACCAAGTTTTACTTATATTTATAGATGTGAAATCATCATCAATTACAACGGGCTTTTTATGCTCAAGATCAAACCATTTGCACTTAAACAATACTACATGATTTCCATCAATATAGCTCAAATCAACAACATCAGTCAAAACCCCGTAGAAATCAATACTTTCATCTTTATGAGAACCCTGAACTGATACACCACTATTCTGAGTTACCCTTCGAATGTCACGTTGGTTGACTAGAAACTTAACTCCATTAACAATGCACCCTGAATATACATTAACACGAATATCTGGACCCACTGCTAAAGAATAAAGATCTTCGTTACCTTCCAGTGATTTATGAATATTCAAGCTCTTCATCTAACAGCAAGGAAAAAATCAAGTTTTGTGAAATTGTTAACATTAGAAATAAATTTAGAAAAATAAATATCAAACAAAATTAAGAATTAAGTATCTCACTTTTTGTTCAAACCATAATGAAAACTGATCTTTTTGCTTTGTTGCCACATCTTGAATAAATGAATCTTCTTTTCTTAACTCATTCTCATGTTCACTGACATATAATTTTTATAAGATTTAAATGCAGAGTAATATTAATTTGTAAATAAGTTTAATATCATCAGCATTTTAGTTAATTACATACCTAAGATATGGCTTTAACTCTTCACAATTGTTAAGAACATACCATCGAACTAAATTGTACTCACTCCAAGATAATGTAGTGAAATGTGGTTGACCAAAAGGAAGAATTCTTCTAGAGAAAATTGAAAGTTGATTTTCATGCAAATGAACATCATCATTGTATTCTTCATCTTGATTATTTTTACTCTTCATGCCACGGAGGTATCTAGAACAAAATGTTAATGCCTCATTAACAACATAAGCTTCAGCAATTGATCCTTCAGGGTGAGCCTTGTTCCTAACATTCCCTTTATGAATACTTAGATTTCTAGCATATAAACAAATTTTAATCAAAATTTATGCAAATAATCAATAAAATATAATCAAAAGTAAATGTTACTAGCATAAGAAGTTACCTTTCAATAGGATACATCCATCTATACTGAACAGGTCTAGCAAGCCTAGCCTCACGCGGCAAATGAACCAAGTGAACCATTATGTCAAAGAAAGCTGGTGGAAATATCATTTCAAACCGACAAATTATATTGATGATCATATCTTCTAATTTCTCCAACACATCCAATATCAATGTCTTAGCACATAATATTCTAAAAAATCTTGACAAATCCTTTAAAGCATTATGCACATCCTTATTTAAATATCCAGCAATCCTAAAGGAAGTATTCGTTGTAACAACACATGACAATCATGGTTTTTATCCTAAGCTTACCATTTGAATATTTACTGATCTAGATATATTTGCTGCGTAACCATCTGGAAACTTTACTGATCTAACAGATTAGAGACCCTTCTATCTCTTTTGGAGAAAGTGTGTAAGAGGCTGGAGGTTTAAGATACTTCTCGCCTTGTTTTTGCAATGTAGCTCATGCCTTATGCCATATCTTGTAGATCCAAACGAGCTTTTCTCTGTATCTTTTTGTCTTTCCTTCTATATTTAATAAGGTCCCCAAAATGTGTCACAAATATTCTTTTCAATGTGCATTACATCAAGATTATGACGTAATGTGAGACTTCTCCAATATGGTAACTCAAAAAATACACTTTTTTTTGTCCAAGTTGATTCATGAAGGTTACGTTTTCTTTTTTTACAGCTAGGATGCTTTCCAAACTTCAAATCCTTTAATGACTCCATTTCTGATATATTTCATCTCCTGATAAAACTTGAGGTCTCACTCTAATTCTTCATGCTTGCCATTAATCTTTCTACTTTTTCTCCATTTGTGCTCTTTAGGCAAGAAACGTCTATGACCCATGTAACAAATTTTGTTTCGCAAATATTGTGAAGAAGTTTCACTGTCACATATTGGGCAAGCTTTGTAACCATGTACTTTATGACCCGACAATATACCATAAGCTGGAAAATCATTTATAGTCCATAAAAGAGCAGCATGCATTTGAAAGGTATTCTTACTTACAGAATCATAAGTTTTGATACCATTCACCCATAAGTCATTTAATTCTTCTATAAGGGGCTTTAAATATACATCTATTTCTTTCCCAGGAGCAACTGGACCAGGAATTAATAGTGTCATAAACATAAACTCAGAAGACATACAGTTCCAAGGAGATAAATTATATGGTATAAGAATGACGGGCCACATGCTATAAGAAGTGCTCATATTACCAAAAGGATTGAATCCATCTGAAGCTAATGCAAGGCGTACATTACGAGAATCTTCTGCAAACCAAGGAAAGCTAATATCAAAATCCTTCCAAACTTTAGAATCAACTGGATGCCTTAATAAATTTTCATCCACAAACTGATTTTCCTTATGCCACCTCATTTCATGAGCAGTTTTTCTTGACATAAATAGCCGTTGTAATCGAGAAGTAATGGGAAAATAGCGTAGAATTTTATGAGGAATTTTCTTTCTTTTTCCATCATTAACTTTCCATCTTGATTCCATGCACTCAGGACATTCTTCTTTATCTTCATATTCTTTCCAAAATAAAGCACAATCATTTTTACAAGCATGAATCTTTTCACAGCCTAATCCGAGGTCTGATAAAATCTTCCTTGGTTCATAATATGAAGACGGAAGTGATTCACCCTTTGGCAAGATAGATTTTATGAATTGAAGGATCATGTTGAATGATTTATTTGTCCAACGATTAAGAACTTTAATGTGTAGTAACTTTACAAGAGCAGACAACATAGATAAATCTGAGCCAGGGTATAAATCACGTTGTGCATCCTTTAGTAGCTTATCAAATATAGCTGTTTCATCTTTGTTGATAATATTATCACAGTCCTCATCTGGTGAATTATTGGCAGAAGAGTTTATGAAAGTTCCCCTATGTATATCCTCTAAAATTTCTTGAATTTCATCAACCCCTTCAGTTGTATTATGAAGATTATTCACATCTCTTATGCCTAAATCTGCATCACTGAAAGCTTGAGATGTTTCCCCATGACAAGTCCACTCAATGTATGATGTTTGCATTCCATTAATTAATAAATGATTCTCTACGACGCTATAAGGCTGAAAGAAGACATTCGCACAGTATCGACATGGGCACCGAATCTTCTCCATTTGAGGATTTTTTTCATGGGCAAATTTAATAAATTCGGTAACTCCATCCTTATATTGTCGCAAACGTCTATCATTGAGATTAATCCAGCTTTTGTCCATTGCTTTGACCTGACAAAATTATGAATAAAAAAAATTATTGCATGACTAATCTTACACCCCTTTTCAAAATTATTTAAATTTAGGTAAATATTCATAAATAATATGCTTCAAATCATTTCTCATTTGATTTTTTTTTTGAGAAGACAATAGAAAATTCAATGTTAATGGAAAGACATAAAGTTTGAAAAAAAAATTAAAAGTTCATTTCCATGAATGCTGATAATCTATGTATTGCATATAAAATTTGGATGATATAATAATATTTTGGATATTATATGTGAAGGGCAAGATAAATGGACTTTTAAATGCGCTCTTGCAATTAATTTATTTGAATTTTTTACTTTGCTGGAAACCACAATACTTCTAATGCTTCTTTTTACTCTAACGAAAAAGAATGGCAAATTTTTGGAGAAAATCATTCAATTTCATTTAGGGGCTGTTTGGTTGCCTGCAAAGTAAATGCAATATAAAGTAAATGCAGTGTAAAGTAAATGTAGTGCATTTTAAATACTTTGAGGCTGTTTGGATATATGCAAAGTAAACACAGGAGAAATGTTTCCCTTCTTTGGTTAGATATATCCAGAGAAAAGTAAAATAGTGCATTTTTAATATATTTTTTTTGTTATTATAACTAGTGTATTTATAAAAGTAATCACCGATTGTTTAAACTTTGTTTGAGATAGCTTTATTCTTGCTTTCTAAAACAGCTTTTTAGTACAGATTAATGCTATAAACTCTCTAACATCGAATATTATCATCTTTAGCTTTAAATTTGAGTTATATTCATTTTTTTTGTAATTTCAGAAAAGCCAGCCTATCTGGTTGCTGAAAAGTCAATAAGTAGGTTTCTTTTAAATGAAATGAAAAATACAACTTCCGTTGAGAAGGGACAATTGCTTTCACAAAATGAAGAAGCACAATTATTAACTTCAACCAGAAGCTGATTGATGCATATGTTAAATATACCATACTTTCCCTACCATAAACAGATGTGGGATGTGACAAGTATGCAAGACCATTTATCTTAATTTCAATATTTCATTGAACATCTATAGCCGCATGTGTTTCACCTTATCCTAAGTTGATGTGCAGCATACCCATTTTTAGTCTGCCCAAGCATAAAACTAATCCTCATAAAGATACTTCGAAAATTTCCATATTAAAGGAACTGATTGATAAGCACCATATAATGTTCTATGAAGCATCATGTTCTCATATCAGTCAATTTCTACCTCTATGTTTATCATTTCAAATTTTGTAAATGGAAGTAGTTCAACAAGAACTATGATCATAAGGATATAAAAATTGCTGTCAGATAAAAGAAAGCAATAAAATTAGTTCATCCCAATATTTCAAGTTAATTTTAGCACTTCTCAAAGCTTACAAAATTAATAAATATTCCAAGTGCGCAACTATCACAGATCATAAGTACCAATGCACCACTCTAACAACTCGGTATAAATTACGAACTTGGGTAAATCATTAAGATGCAACTCTTGGTCTTACAAGTAGTCTGGACAACTGCTGACATAATGGAAGTAATAGATAAAGAATTCACTGGAGGTTGAAATGCAAGATGTGGAAGTAGAAAAATAAAGTGCAGGACAAGGAAAATTGGAGGTGCAGTTACGAAAGACAACGGACCAGGAGAGAGACAAATGAAAGGGAGGGAATTTTTTTTAAGGTTGATCAAAGCAATGAGGATTCTCCACAGTTGATCACAATAATAAGAAAAACCTAAGGGTTAGAACAAAAACAACAAACATGAATGTCACATCCAAGCAAACCATCTGTCTTCACATACAACATTAAACAATGTGGTCAACCGTTTTTTTTTTCAGGTTCAAACAACATTCAAAGTTCAGAAATAATCATTTTATAAGCCTGATAAAACTTACAAATAATCATTTTATAAGCCTGATAAAACTTACAGGGAACAAAATACCCACAACTTCCAAGGAATTAATTAACATAAAGAAAATAAGTATTCAGCAATAAAAAGTAATAATTAACTTTTAAAAACGCCATTGCAAATTTCAGCACTTCCAGCAAAACTTAAATAGGGTGGTAGAAGCTGGAAACCATATAAGGCGACTCTCCCTAATCTTATCTTCCACTGGAGCTACTCCAACCTTATCATGTATATGCTCATTTCATGTCCTATCTCAAAGAGAAAAGCCACTCATCCACCTGAGCATTCTCATCTCTACAACACTTGATAATATGTTTCTCTTCTAATGGCCAACAAATAAAAAAGAAATATTAACTCATAATTACTGAATTAATGAAAAGCTTTTTGAGCATGACTCGTCACTCTTAAGTATTAGAATACATGAGGAAGATACTAATCAGCATTTTTTCAATGTAGTTTTCTTTCAAGTGGCATGACACAGTTTGATTTTTGGAACTGGAATAGACCAAATCAAACTTTGTTACGAACCAAATAAAAATAATGATAGTAAAATAAATTAAAATTCAAGAAAAATATCTTTATGCCCAATTTGTCAATCCAAAAACTTGCTGACAATGTAGTTTTGGATTAATCAAAGGGGTTTTTAGTGTTAGTAATTCTGTATGTATTCTAGGGGGGGAGTTTTAAGGGAACAAGTATCCAGCTTTTAATCCACAATTTGAAATCCATGAAGTTTTAGGTTTTTGATGATGAATTGCTCTTGTTGATGTAATCCAATGGGAAATTTTAGCAAAATTCAAGAAGCATTTGTTAAAGGAAAAACAGCTTAATGTCTTCACCTGTACTTCAATGAAGTTAGAGAATGAAAAGATTGGGGACTGAAAATTGATTTGGATGAGTTTCTATTAAAAGATCCTACAAACAACCTGCACATTTTAGAGGAAGTGCTGTTAACAGGAGCTTTAGGTGTTCGACAGAAAGCTATGTAGATGTTTGTTCATGGCTAGATGATTTAAATTCACGATATTTTCAGAAATTAGGGCACGACTATGCCTTTGCGGACAAGATTAGATATTGTGACATCAAGGGATAGAAATATTAAATAACAAAGAAGAAGAAGACAGCGTTACCTTACTTAACAACTCTGGATTTGGCCGAACAAGCACGCGAAAGGGATAAAATTAACTTCAGAAATTTGGAGCTCCTTCCGATGGAAATGTCGCAACTTCCGATCGGACAGGCAAACGTAACCTCGTCAAAGGAGCGAACAAGAACGAAGGAGCCCTAGAAGCTTCTCGTGCAATCTTACACCTCTTGCGAAGCAATGAAGCCGAACAACAACGACGATGATGCGAACTCGAGCTCCCGTCCTTACCTCCGATGAAAATGGCGCAGCTTCCGATCGGATAGGCAAAGGGAACGTCGTCGTCGCGCGAAGTTTGAGAAGAATGAAGGAGCCGAAGAAGGAAGGAGCCGAAGAACCCTCTCGTGCAATCTTACACCACCTGCGAAGCAATGAAGCCGAACAGCAACGACGCCAAGTAAATCTTCTTCCAGCGAATTTGTAACCCGCTCGATATGAGCGGGTTTCTAATCCGCGCAAAATAGCCTCCTTATTACATGCCTAATGCATCCGAGGAGTTCCTTTTATTTCGCTCAAAATTAACCAAATAGCCTAATTTAATAAATGCATGTATTTGTTTTACTTTACACTCCTAATTCAGGCAACCAAACAGCCCCTTAATGAACACAAGGCACTCTTTCTCAATCGTATAACACATTATAAGCCAAATCTTAAAATTCTCATCTAGTTTTAAATTCCTTCTATATTGGCATATGTCCAGCAAATATTTTGACCTTCGCACACAAATAGAGTACTAGCACACAATATTTTTTAGATTTACAAACCCATTGCTCATCTTAAAATCAAAGTTCTACTATAGTTTACTTTTATAAGAAAAATGTCTAGCAAAGTATTTCTTTGTCCTAAAGATATTAGTAACTCTACACTTTGCAAATAATGCATTGACTTACGGGAGCAAAACTTCCATATTTTTTTCATATGTGCATATACATCTATCTTTTGCAAGAGATTATAAAATATTTTTAATATCCCCTCACCTATTGTAAGCTTAGATATTACTTTCATCTCATGAAGAAGCACCTTCACTAAATATCAATTCAAGAATCTTTGAGATATCTTCTACTTCTATGTTTTCTACTTTTGCGTTTTTGTGGTATGAATTGAAGAAACTTCTAGATATTTTTCTAAAATTAAGAAAGAAGATAAGTGTATGTGGTGGTCAACATTATTCACTACAGAATATATTAATTTTTTAACAATCGATAAACTAGCAAAAACTGTTAAAAATCACTAAATATCCACATTATCATTGCTTTATATAAGAAAGTTAAATTTCAAGAAATATTATAGGTGATGACAGCTTCATCCCATAAGATTTTCAATAAATATATCAGTAGTTGTAAGCACACATCTATTTTTCCCATTTATTGTATGGAACAAGAATATGATGCATGAGAAACATATAAATGGTTGATATCTATATCTCGGGAGATATTACAAGGCAGAATAATTACTGATTAGTATGAATATGATGATGTGATTTGAATATATGGTATGAAATCGTCAAGAACTAAACTAAGTATGACATTTTGTACTTCTGAAGCAAACTCTAAATATACAACAACAACATCAAGGTTTTATCCCACCATGTGGGGTTGGATACACGAATCCTTCTTCTCCATTGTGCACTGTTAAAAGTTAAATTCTCATTCAAATCTAATAAAGAAATGTTATTTCTAATATTTTCTAACCAAGTCTTTTTAAGTCTAACTCTACCCTTCTTAACATAAGTCAAATCTAATACTTTAGCTTCTAATGGATGACATACATTTGGCTCACACATTCTCTCATGATGCAATCTCATATATCCAACATAACTCATAAATACAAACAATCTTTTTAATTCTAGAATAAGAGACACTATCATTTATAGAATTAGTTGTTTTTAACAATCTTATAAATTGATTGAAAAATTCATGTAGCATATTAAAATCAACTTTGATATTGGGCATTCTTATTGTAATAGATAAGTGATTAGTGCAACCATGCCATAACAATTGTAATAAATCATAAAATCATTAAGCCTTATCTTGCCCTTTGCATGTGACTTGTCCTAAGCGTAGCATCCAACACTACCTAAGTGTTTGGCATGTTACTTGTCCTAAGCATAGCTATCCAACATAACTCATATCGTTTTGATTGCTATTAGTTTTAATCATAATTATTTTATAAAGAAATCATACAAGTTCTTTTCGCATGCATTTAAAAGCATTATAGTCCTGCATCAGGAACTATGTATTACCCAAAAAACACTCAGGTAGAAGAGGAAAATAAGGACAAAGATAGGAACAAAGACAAAAATCTCATGAATGCTATTAAAGCCAAATAATTATACAGATTAGAGAAAATCAGGATTGCATAAATCCAGATTCACTTTATCCTACTTCCAACCAAACAGCCTCGAAAAATCAAAACCTAAACAAACGTAACCAAGCAGCAATCAATCCAGAAAAATGCAAATACTATCATCTTTGAAATAATACTATTAATATTAATAGGGGCTTCTAACATCCTAAAATATGATCAATCACTTCACAAACTGCAGAAAATAAAGAAAGCGTTTGCCAGCGGCAGAACCAAACCGCCATCAGAGTTCGTAACCTTGGCGAAGTGAGATTGTTCAGTAAAAAAAGAAAAAAGAATGAATGCAAAATAATGAGTGGAGAATGAAAATCCACAATAATAGCCATGGGATCTTTTCAACTAAACCATTGAAAATCAACCCTAACCTCTTAAAGCAACAATAACAATCAATAATGTTGAATGATAACATAAAAATGAGAGCATGGTATAAAGAAGATCATAGAAATTTTGAAATTAAAATAGGAAGAATGGTATTAGGGAAAACCTGAGAAGGAGGAACCGGCGGAGGCGAGTTTGCGGGATTTTCCGAAGATATGTGACTGAAGAAACTCATATAAACGCGAGAATGAGAGAGGTCGTGGCCGCGAAACCGTCGATTTGCAGTTGGCGATTGCGGTTTGAGGTCGTCGTCGCTAAAGAGGCATCTAGGGCAAATACCGAAAAACAGAGAAGTTTCGTGCGAGAGACTAAGATCGCGAGAGTAAGAGAAGTTCTGTGCGTGAGACTGAGATCGCGAGATTAGTCTTGGTATAATGTATAATTTTATTTAATTAAGTAATTGATAAATTTTAAATAATATATATTGTAATTTATTTCATCAATAAATTATTAGATTTATCATCATAAAAATATAAATATTAAATTAAATTAATCATTTTATTTATTATTTTGTCTCTATTTTTTTGGTCGCTATTGACCCATTTTCTTGTAGTTTGTATTATTTCTCTGTTAATTTTTTTTCCTAAAAGAATTTCTCTGTTGATGTTTTTTCCTAAAAGAATTTCTCTGTTGATGTGAATACAAAAAATTGTAATCAAATACTTGCATATATTATTTCTATATTATTAAGTAGAATTCACATTTTAATATTATTTTAAAAAGATTAGAAGTCTCATCAGAAAAAAAAAAAAAAACTCTTCTTTCTCCTCAATATTTTTCTGCATTTGTTTTCTTTTATTATATATTCTTCGATAGAGAGGAAGTTGAATATATATACAAAGAGAAGAGGAAGAGGAGCTGCTTAGTTAATTAGATGAATGTTGAGTTGTTTATTTCAAGATAAAATAAATGGGGGAATTGGAAGGAAGGTTTTTAAGCTAATAATCAACTCTTTAATTGGAGTTTGGTGAATATTTGCAGTAGTAATTTATACTGAAACCTGAAGAGACATCTCCTGCCTTTTCACATTCTTTGGATTGGATATGAGAATGTTATGATTTGGAATATGAAAGGTTGCAAATAGAGTTGTTAATTTTAAGAGATCTAAATTTATTCTTGTAAGTAGAAATCTAAATTTAATAATCACCAAGCGATGAAAAGTTATATTTATAATTAATGCACATAAAATAAAATAAAATGTAAAATTAAATATATTAATTAGTTTAACTAAAATGAAATTATTGAATTTTATTTGAATAATTAAAATGAAATGCCGCAAGGTAAGGATTTTGATCGGAAGGAAACTCAAGCGAATGATAATATCTTTCAAAGATTAAAAAATAATCAATTAATTAGACGCGGTTAACTATTTGACTCCCTATTTTTCAAACTATTTTTTTTTTGAAAATTACAAATTGAATTAAAGGGAACTAAAAGCACTAATTACAGTTGATAAATGGGTAGCCATCTTCCTTGATCAACTTCATCAAGGTAGATGGAATACTACCAAAAGAAAAGCTATCAAATAAAAAATTACCATCTAAAGCCAAAGTAGCACAAAAATCTGCTACTTTGTTACAATTCTTATTCACATGGTGAAAAACAACTTTATTAAAATCATTTAGGAAGTGAAGTTGATTACCCAAGTTTTTCTCCGTCTGCCAATTGGTCTTCTTCATAGATTGTTGAATGTAGTTAATCACATTAAGGTTGTCACTCTCTATGATGACACCAACATATTCAAGCATCCAACCTTGAATGAAATCCCGAATAGCAAGAATTGATTCCAGTTCCAATTGACCATTGTCCCAATGTACTGAATACCTTCCAAAGGCAAAGAGCATTCTACCAAAATTATCTCTAAATAGGCCTCCTATACCCGCCAGGTAATTAAAAAGCAAGGAAGAATCAACATTCACCTTAATCCAATCTAGCGGTGGAGGGTGCCAAGAATTCAAATACTCCCAAGAGAGGTTAGCACCCCAGCTATCTAGAAGAGGATGAAGGTTAGATGAAGCTAACGCAATTACATTAGCAGCAGCCACATAAGTAGATACAGCAGGTTTGCCATGCTTGATCAAGTTGCGATTTTTCCAATTCCAGAAAACAGTCGTGCAATACAGTCTAACCATATCAGGATTACAACTTGATTGACGTCTAAGTTCCGCCAGACATTCATCAAGAGATTGGAAAATATTGATAGCAAATCCCCATTCTCTGATTTTATTAATAATATCACTACTATGCTTGCAATGCACAATAATATGAGCATAATTCTCAGTCATTCCACAACCTCTACTACAATAATCATTTGTTGCTAGTCTTCTAAATTTAAGGTTAGAATTGGTTGGAATTGCAAACTTACCAAGTCTCCACCAGAACAATTCTACCTTAGTGTTAAGTTTAAGCTTCTTAAGCCAATTCACATAGCCATCATCAATGTCATTGTGTCTCTTGTTCATTACAGCTTCAAAGGCTAACGCTGAAATAGAGCAACCCGTCAATTTCTTAATAGGCTCTAGCATATCCTTTCCACCTTCTTTGTCCACCTTTACTTGCTTGATTAACCAAACTAAATCCTCATGAAAGAACTTTCTCAGCTTCAACTCATCCCACCTTCCTTCATCTGTCAAAAGTTGTTCAACTTTAACACCATCTAAATCTGTAGAATTGATATATGTCGGCCATGAGTTGAATCGTCTATCCAGGACCCAAATGTCATTGAGAACATCAATGTCTTTACCATTGCACACTTTCCATTTAACCACCTCCTTGAGATACTTGCCTCCCTCAACTATAATTTTCCAAGCAATAGAAGAATTTTGCTTACATTTCCCTTCAAAAATGTTATTTGAGTATCTGGCTTTAAGAGAACGATGTAGAAGGGAATTCGAGTTTTGGATGTAATTCAATGCAATTCTTGCTTTCATTGTACCACTCTTAATGATACAAGACTGTAAACCAAGACCACCAGCACTTTTGGGCTTACATAATTCATCCCAAGCAACGTAATGTAATCCTCTATCCATATTAGATTTGTGCTAAATAAAATTCCTGCATAACCTCTCAATTTCCTGCAGAATTATTTTCGGAACCATCGAATGAGTAATAACAAAGTTTGGCAAATTTAATAAAGAAGACTTTAACAACATGATTCTACCACCCAAAGAAATATTTCTTCTTCCCCAAACATTGAGTTTCTCCAAAACCTGAGCCAATAGATCTTGATAGTCTGCTGCCTTTAGTTTGCTAATAGACATTTTGATACCCAAATATTTCCATTCATTGAGAGCCTTAAACCCAAGAATTCTGGTATGTTTCTTCTTACATGTTTTACGAACACTTTTGCCAAATAATATTTGAGACTTATTGGCATTTACCTTTAAACCTGTCCATTTACCAAACTCCTCCATGATTTTCAACATTTGTCTCGCCATCCCATAATTTGCTTGAGAGAATATGAGAACATCTTCAACATACAACAAATGGGTTATTCGAGGGCCTCTAGAAGCCAATTGAATACCCAAACTATGACCCCTTTGCATTATAGCATTAGAAAGGAGTTGAGCACACATGATGAACAAGTAAGGTGACAATGGGCACCCTTGACAAAATCCACTACAGGCATCAATCCATCTACGTTTTTTCCCATTCATGATAATAGCAAACCTCACATTCAATACACATTCCGTCACAAACTTAGAAAAAATTGAAGGAAAGCCATACCATACTAAAATTTGCTGCAGAGTACTCCACCCCATACTGTCATATGCCTGCTCCATATCAAGCTTGGCTGCCATTAATCCTTTCTTATTCTTTGAAACTTTAAATTTGTGAAATATTTCTTGGGCAAGAATACAATGATCAGACATCGATCTTCCTGGAATGAAGGCAAGTTGTTCCTCTGAAATCATCTTATTCATGAGGTTCTTTAATCTACTCACTAGCATTGAAGCAACAATCTTGTATGTGGTTTGGCAAAGGATAATGGGGCGAAAGTTGGAAGGAGAAGTAGGATTATTTACCTTAGGGATCAACACAATCAAAGTGTCCTTCCAATTTTTATGCATAATTCCATTGTTAAAAAACTTTTTTTATAGCATTCCATGTTGTCTCAACAACAATATTCCAATAACTTTTGAAAAAGGAAGAGGTAACCCCATCAGATCTTGGAGATCTGTTATTGCCTTGCTGGAAAACCTCCACCCTACACTCCTCCATAACAAATTCCTTAGTCAACATTTGTCTATCCGATTCACTGAGCCGTTGAGAAGCTTCAATCTTTGGCCAATCCTGTAGGATACATCTCCTATGTTTTCACTTGTCTTAAAAAAAACTCAGAAAAATCTGCACTATATGTTCTTCATCATCCACCATTCTATTGTCAGCATTTTAATATGCTTGATTAGATTTGAACTCCTCCTAGCCGAAGCAAAATTATGAAAGAAGGCTGAATTCACATCTCCCTCCTCCATCCATCTAGTTTTGGCCCTTTTGTTCCACCATGTTACAATTCTTTTTAAGGTAACATTCAATTAATGGACCTTATGCCTAAGGAGACATAAGTCATCAACCGAAAGACCATCATCAGACATCTCTTTCATTTGTAAATCAATAATATCCCTCTTCAATTAATCTTTATACTTGCACAGATCAATGCACTTATTTTTATTCCAAAAGAAAAGAGCCTTCAAAGTTCTTTTAATCTTCCTATGTAGAATTTCCACCTCATCCCCAAAGTGGGTACTGATGGGTATCCCCACTTCATTATATGCATCGCACTGAAAGTTTTTTAGGGATGTTAGGCCCTTAAAAACTAGTCTAAGGCTAACCAAGAGGTGGGGGGTGGGGGTGAATTGGTATTTTAAAAATCTTTACAACAAAAGAACAATTATCACAAACCAAAGTCACCACAGAAAAACAAGTGCGAAAAATTAAAATGCGGAAGCAGTAAAAAGAACACAAGAGGTTTATAGTGGTTCGGTCAACTTGACCTACGTCCACTCCCCGGAGGCACCCTTCGAGTATTGCACTACAATCGTGTCTCACCCTTAGCCCCCATAGCTAGGCAGAGAAGCCCTTACAAACACCTCCTTTTTGCCACCCCCGGCAAGGCAGAGAACATCACTCCTTTTGCTTCCTCCTGAAGCAGGCAGAGAATCTTGATCAATCGCTGAAGCTTACCTCTCCCAACCCTTCCAAGGACAAGAGACTCTAGTGGAAGAAAATGTGGAATAATGCTTGAAGCAACCCTTGTGAATCCTCTCACAAGCTCCCCCTCACATGATCCTCTCTCTCTCTCTCTCTCTCTCTCTATCTCTCTCTCTCTCTCTCTCCCCATTAGGTTTTGTCAGGTCAAG